TAGGTGGATAGATGCCTCTTTGTAAAATTGAACGATCAAAATTTTGAAAGTTAATTATAAATGAGTCCCTGTAGTTTATTTAAATAAATAAATTAGTGATAGCTTATTAGCTTCTATCTATTAAATTTTTTTAGTCCCTCCATCAATTCTCTATTATTAAAAGTATTTGGGATTATTACAGCGGTTTCAGTTTAAAATAATTTTTACTTATAAATATACTAAATAATTTTTTTTTATTTTTAAAAAATTATTTTTAAAATTAACACATTAAAATAATATAAAACATAAAAAACTTATTTTTAATAAAAAATTTGAGTAAAACATGATTTCAGTCGCATTCTCAAATCTCAAAATTAATACTCTAAATTTAAACAATTTTATTTTAACTTGAGATCCATTAAACTTAAACCTGAACCTAAAAATATAAGATATATGATATTTGATTAAAGCATGAATATCCCTTTATTTATTTTCCTTAATAGAATGTAACAAGGGTGCTTGACTTATGGGTGGTGAAAATGAAAGACGGTAAAGTTTTTGGATTGATTTGAAATTCTAGTAATAGATAGAATACTAAAATATCTTTTTATCATTTATTAATTAAAGTTTGGTATGAGTACTAATGTGGTGTAAGGTATTTTTTAAAAATATTTTTTAATTAAAATAATATTTTTTATTTTTTAATATTAACACATCAAAAAAACACATAAAAAGCAATAATTTCAAACTTTTTTAGACAGAAAAAACAACTTAAAGGATAGAAGTTCTAATAATGTCAAACGGACATGAGTTCCAAGGAAGATTGTCATCGTATTTTTTTAATATTACTAAATATACTAAAATGTCTATGTTTTACTATAGCTCCACCAGTCTTTTCTTCTTTTTTTGTTCTCGATTTTTTTTTTAATTGCAATTTGTAATGGTCAACTTAATGAACAATTTGTCAAATTTTATTAAGAATCGGAAAAATTAAGAAATAAAGGATCAAAGTGTACAACAAAAGGAACAATCTAAAATTCTTGGAAAAAGTTTTTTTAGTCCTCATAGTTTCATTTTTCTTTCTCTACAATCCCTATATTATTATTTTTTGTTATATTTCAATCCCTAAATTAGAGAAATGAGAGAGATTCACGGGATTCTAACAAATAAAAAAACTCCTTAATTGAAAGTGATTTTTTAACACTAAAATGTCAATTTTGATATGAAAAATTTCTTAAGTGTAGTTTGATTATAACTGTTTTGAACATCAATATTATCTAAAAAATAAATTGAGGCTAAGAAAAAAGATTTACCTAATTTAATTTTGTATTTTTTATACATTTTGTTTTTGGGTTTTGAGCTTGATAAATTAGTTTTTGAATGTTATAAGGGTATTATTTATGTGTTTTTAGATAAAAATGAGTTCAAAAATAACTTCTCATGACAAACAAATACCCACTTTAATTTTATAGTCATCACACGGTGGATAAAATCTAGATAAAAAAAATAGCAAGTTATTAGCCTTTTTAAAGGACATGTCATCTATCGTAAATTTTTTTCAAAAAGACAAACCACAAGTCAACAACTCTTTATAAGATGGCATGCCTACATGATGTTGTAGGCTTATAAAATAAATATATTTTATAGTATTATAATTGTAAATCAATACTAGATAAGTAATAGAAACTAATATATGATGGAGCCAATATTTCATGATGGAAAAAAAAAGTGGTGTTAGTGATAAAAAATTTAAAAACTGAAAAAAATGATTTGTAGCAATTTACAGTGTTTTATGAGAAAAGATATAGCACTTTCGCTATATGATTTAACTTTTACGTTAATAAAAAGCAAAAAAAAAAAATATAAAGTTAAATTCTCTACCAACTTAATATTAAAAAACAAATCAACAAACATAACTTTTGAAGAAAAAAACTCATGAGAAAAAACATTGTAATAATTGACAATGTTCTGTGAGGAAAACTACAATGTTCTCCCCAGTACAATCGACAAAGATAATTTTAAAAAGAATCATAAAAAAAACCATTTAGAGAAATATTATAGCAATCTAATGTTTTGTGAAGAAAATAACAATGTTTTCCCTATATAATTTAGTTTTATTGTAGTTATATTTTTTAATTAACTCAATATTCAAAAAACAAATCGACAAAGATAATTTTTTAAAAAATCATATAAATTCATTTGGAAAAATAATGCAGCAATTCATAGTGTTTTTAAAAAAATTAAAAAACTAAATTCTCAATTAGCTCAATATTAAAAAAAATTGAAAAAAATAATTTTTGAAAAAATAAAAAAAAATAAAAAACACAAAAAAATAGGGACAAAAAAACTATGTTGGAAACGCTATTACAATTCATAATGTTTTGTCATAAAAGTTACAGCGCTTCCCTACCTGATTTAGCCTTATTTATAATGACTTATAATTATAATTCTCAACCAGATAAATATTAAAAAAATAAAATTGACAGAAATAAGTTTAAAAAAATCATGAAAAAAAAAACTATATGCAGAGATAATGTAACAACCCATAGTGTTTTGTGAGGAAAGCTATAATGCTTTCCCAACATGATTAAACTTTATTATAAAGTTAAATTCTAATCAGCTCAATATTAAAAAAAATAATATCGATCAAAATAATTTAAAAAAAAATATTACAAAAAAAGAAAAACATAAAAGAAACTGAAAAAAAATTGAGGAAAAACTATATCAATTTATAGTATTTTGTGAGGAAAGTTATAGAGTTTTCCCCATATTATTTAACCTTATTTTTATTTATTTGTAACTGTAATTCTTAACCAACTTAATATTAAAAAAATAAATTTGATAAAAATAATTTAAAAAACAAAAAAATATATGGGAAAAAAAATTATAGTAATCCACAGTAATTTGCGAAGAAAGTTACAGTGCTTCCCTTATATAATGTAACTTTAATTATTAATCAACTCAATATTTAAAAATAAATTTAAAAAAGATAATTTTGGAGAAAAATATATGTATAAAAAACCATGTTGAGAAATATTATAGCAATCAATAATGTTTTAAAGAAAACAATTGCAAAATAAATTCTCAATCAGCTTAATATTAAAAAAATAAAATCAACAAATATAATTTTGAAAAATAAAAATAGAAAATAGAAAAACCATATGTGAAAACACCGAAACAATTCATTGTATTTTAAAAGAAAAAAATTACAAAGCAAAATTTTTAACAAGTTTAATATTAAAAAAGTAAAATTAAAAAAGAAAAAAAAAAGGAAGAAAAGGTGCAAAAAAAATGAACAAAAAAACAAAAAAGTGATTAAACAAAAGAAATAAGAAATAAGAAGTAAGGAGAAAAACAAGTGTAAAAAAAATAATAAAAGTAGAAAACAAATCACTGCACATGAAGCATTGGATGTGGATGTTCCAGAAAATCAGTTTTCAAACTTTCTTTTATTTGTTTGCTGTTAGGAAACTTGGTTAATGAAAAACACTCTCCATTCAAATAAAAATTTGGCTTGGTTTTCAGTAAAGTGTTTTCCTGGAAAATTTGGGTAAGAAACACTTTTCGGAAGTTGTGAAAAATTTAGAAATATCATATTATTTGTTAATTATATAAAATTTGATCCTCAAACTTTTGATTGTTATATATATTTTATTTTGAATATCTATTTTTCAATTTCATTTCTTAAAATTTAATTTTTATATTAACTTTGGTCCTCATTTTTATAATTGTTATTTGCTTTTCTCCTATTATTTTTTTATTAAGCTTTTTCCCTATTATTTTTTTATTAAAATTTTTTATCTATCAAATTTGATCCTCATTCTTTTGATTGTTACTTATTTTATTTGAAATAATTTATAAAATATTAATTATAATTATTTTAATTTCTTTATCTTTCATTTTTTTTATTTAATCTCTATTATTTTGATTATTATTTATTTTATTTAAGATAATTTATGAAATTATATTTTTTTTCAATTTCATTCTCATTCAATTTTTTAATTTCTAAGATTTGCTTCTTATTATTTTAATAAACTTGAGAAAAATAAAATATTAATAAATTATTTTCCAGATCATTTCCAATAACATAACCAAACACTAGAAAGTGTTTTCCAGTTTATTTTTTATAATGCTACTGAATATCAAAAAATAATTTATTTTTTAAAAATTTATTTTTCTCAAAATTTATTTTAAAAAAACAACTTTTCTACAGAATCTAAATTCCCCGCAACCTTCGCTTATTAGTTAATTCTTAATAGAAAAGGACTTGGAGCCGCGTGCCTGGCTCTCTCTTGTTTTTAGTCCCTCAAATTTTACTAAGGCTGCCATTTCACATACTGTCTCTTTCTCAAACTCTCGAAATGGGGTGCTGCGTACCACATCATCATGCAATCTCTTATGTTTTTTTTCCTGACCTTTGACAGGAACTCTGTTAATTTCACTAGAGTTCTAATTGACACCGCAAACAAACCAGACTTGTTAATTCTATTAAACCTTCCATTAAAAGTAGTTTTAGAGATGGAAGTTGCAGCAACAGAAACAACTTTTATAGTGAGTTAATGCGTTATATTTGATGCAGATGGTTGGAAATGATCAACAGAGTTGTGGGGCTGATACAGTTCAATTTACAGTAGGATCAACTGGATTTTTATACAATATCTAAATATGCAGGATGAGGATTTGGAGATGAACAGACAACAAACAAGATTGCAATGCCAACAAGAGCAACAGTGTTGATGGCTTAGTGATGGGAGTCCATAACAAATAGCTAACACGATGATCGAGGAAGCGGTAATGGTATATTGAAGAATTTTGTTAGTAGCCTTTATTGTTCTTACTTTTGCTCTCCTTTTGTGTGAATATTTGTACGTGATAAATCGAAAAGATACAGTAATCAAAATTTAAAAGTTGAATATTTAGGTTTATTTCATAATGTAATAATTTATTTGAAAAGGGTATTGATAAAGATAATAAAGGAAATGAACAAAAATACTTGCTTGAATAATCAAAATTATAAATGTTTATATATATATTTGGAAAGCATCTGTCCAATTACAAACAACAAATTCATACAAAAAAGATATCCTACAGGACATGACTAGAAGGTGGAGCAGCTTGCATGAAACCACAACAACAGGGAGGAATGCAACGCTGGATCGGTGCTGGAGTGCTAGGTATGGAATAAAGCAGCACCCATTGGTATTAGGCACAACAATCGTCTTGCAAATTCTAGCTGGGATGCCATACAAGCAGCCCACATAAAGAGTCTCATGAATCTTGTATACCATCCTCATCTTTGTGTACACACGAACCGTCAACAAGGAATCAGATCCTGCTTGATGTGCCCCACCAACTCTTTCCACGTTCAAGATTTTAGCAAGGGCTGCCAAGCCTAACTCACCACCACGCAATCCCTGGCAAAAGCATGCCATGTATTTGATATCCACCACATCTCCTAACACAATACCGAGTAGAGACATAAAACCAGCCACAGAATGGGACAATGGCCTGTTTGTCATTGTCCTCAATGTGTGTGACAGATCATACAAGCCATGGAAGGTAACCCAACAAAGGTTTCGATGCTTAGCAACTACACGTGACAACAACTGTGAGAACATGTCGAAATCAATCCCAGCTCTTCTTAGCTTGTCAAAATCGATGCCATTGTCTTGCAAGAACTGTATAGACTGAGAGACAAACAAATCCTTTGACAGATCGAACCGCAAATTGAACTCCCACGTGCCCCCGATTTTGTCACTTGCATCTGCAACTGTGATGCCAAATTGGATTAACCTTAATAGATCAACATTATGCTTCAAATCCTCATAACAAGTCAAGTTAGTGGCGTCTATGGAGTGTTTCGAAAGAAACCAGGAAACTCTGTATCAAATGAGACAATTGGAAATCTGAACAAGACAGCGTCCAATCTGAAAATCTCTCGCTAAAAATTCTGTCTCCACATCGCAATGATTTTGGTGGCAACCATTCTTCTTTATTCACTCACGTTTCAATATCTCTAGCAAAAAGCAACAAAAACAACAACAAAATTAACAGAGGAAATAATTGATCATTTTGTTAAAGAAGTGACGAGTTGAATATTAGGGTTTGTTGCTTCTACATATACTATACTTCACCGGAGTCTGCATGTCCGCATGGATTGGGGATTAACTAGTTTCCACTGACTTATACCAACCGTATTATTCTTACAGTTAGCCGCGTCCTTATCAATTTTGGATTAATTAATTCAAGTTGATAAACTATAAGGACTAATTTATAATTAAATCAAAATTTTAAATCTTTTTTAGTTATATACATTAATAATTTGTCAAGTGACAAAAAAAATATTCATATAAGGAAGTTGTTTTCTATATAATTTCAAAAGATTTAAGATTTTGTGATTTATTCATAAGAAAACTATTAACATAAGAATATTTAAAAAAAAAAAAACCTTGTAATGTTAATTTTTTACTATTAGAAATGTAAGAGATATATGGAAGTTTTTTCTTGATAAAAGAATTTATAATTTTTTTTTCAAGAAATTGAAAGGAAAAAAAAAGTAATGACAATTTTCAACAATTACGGCCAAAAAATGAATAAGTTATGTTGGAGAGCCATATACTTAAATCAAGTAAAAAAACATAATCATCTATTATTTTTTTGTTGTTGGTTATTATTTTGATAGTTATAACTATAATGGGTGGTGTCATATTGTACTAAAAAACAATTAATGTAAAATAAATTATTTGATTTATGAAAAAAATTTTACTAGCCGCTAGGTTAATTTTAAAATCTCACAATCTGATTTTTTATTTAATACGAGTTTTAAATTAAACCTTGTGAGAATTGTTCTGATATAATCTAATCAACTTGACTATTTTAAAAGTAATTTGAATAACCATAAAAAATATGGTCTGATTTAAAAAAAATCAAAATAACATCTTTTAGAAAAATATTAAGAGACAACGATGCATTGAATCATCTTGGATTTTATTGTTTAACTTGAAAAATTCATAATTTAGGTCATGAGCACTATTGGGTTGAATAATTTTAAAGCTAATTTTTATTTAATTATATGATATTTTTTTCAAAGACCTCATATTTTATCTTTGTTTCAACTTTGATCCTCTCCTTTTTAATTTTTCTCAAATAATAAAATTGAAACTTTTTTCGTGAAATCAAGAACCAACTCATTGGCAAGATTGTTTAAAGATCAAGATAATTACATAAGAAGTAAATCAAACCAAACTTTCAACCCTAACTTATAATCAACACAACATTAAAGCATCAAATTGAAAGGAAAAAAATACACAGAGAAAGAAAAAGGACTAGATTGATATTATGTTTTTTCTAAAAAACAAAAAAAAATGCCATTATGTTTTGTTTCAATTTGATCCTCTCATTTTTTTAATTTTTTGCACCCAAACAATTTGAATTTCTTTTTATTAAATTAAATATAAACCCAATATCATGATATATTTTTCAACATCATGATAACCAAATAAAAATCAAATAAAAAAATATTATTAACCTCAAATTCTAACAAACACAACAACAAAACAAGTCATAAAAAACATTGATGGATTCACACTATTTTGCCTCACATGCCACAATAAAACATTTATAGTTAGTTGTTTAATAGTTAGTTGTCTATAGAGAGCTTTTTGAAAATATTATTAAATATGGTCTAACTTAGAGGATCAACGTAATGTCTGCCAAGCTAGCCTTTAATCTAGGTTAAGTTTCAAATTAAACCATGTAGTAATTGACTTGGTGTAACTCAATCAACTTGGCGGGTGCATCCACAACTAGGTTGAAATTTAGTTTGATGTTTTGAAAAAAAATCTAAATAAAATCAATTTATTTAAAAAAAATTAAAATAAAGACTTTCTTGATTAACCTGAGATATCAGCATAACTTGTGACTCGATTTATGAACCCAATTAGTTTTAAAAACTTTATTTTTGTAATTTATTTTTTATTTAATCTGATGATAATATCAATAGATATTCTCATGAAAGATAACAAATAAAATAATGAAAGAAAATATATTTTTTACATGAAAACTATCTTTTTTAATTCATTTGGTTTTCTTTTCCAACACTAAAATGGTTTTTTTATTAGCAACATAGTTAATTAAATAAAAAGCAACAACAATCATTATAAGAACTATAATGGTTTGAACTAATATATATAAAAAATGAAAACCTAATTTTCTTATTCACACATTGTTGAAAATATGTTTTTTTATATGAAAAGCATTGTGTTTTTCAAGAAAAAAACTTATGATGATCATGAAAGGAAATTTTAATTAAAAAAATCATGAATCGATTATTTTTGCGCATCTATATAAAAAAATATAAGACCAATAAATTAAAAAAATTATGTAAAAATTTTACAATAAAATATAATGATAATCTAATAAATAATTAGATTTTTTTATTGATTTTTTTTATTCACTAGCCTGAGGATATAAACTATTATAAACATATTAAAATCAAGAAAGCAAAGTATAATTTCTCATAGTACAGTAGAAAAGTGAAAATACAATCAAACTATATGAGATTTTTTATAATTATATATATTTTTTTATTTTAAAACTTTTTTCCTTTAGTAACTTTCTTTAATTGCCTAATTAGATGGAATTAATGTTAAAATTATTTAGAGGTACCAAATCAAAAGAAATGGAACTAAATTATAAACCATGGAGAACAATAAGTCTAACCCAAGAGTTTTGCCAATATTTATTTTGATCCACAAGTTTTTTTTATTTGTTTTTTGGGCTCCTATGAAAGAGAGAGAGAGAGATGCTTAAAAATGATGTTAGAGGACCACCATGCATGTGGCCGTAGCCCTTTTATGTATTTTTCTTTTTTATTTGGCATAAAAAAATAAAATTACTATATTGATTTACTTGCTTTTTATTTTTATAATGATTTTTAAATCATAAGTCTATATGCTCCTAGCCTGCTACCAGAGGTAAAGTGTCGAGCCTGATCGTTTTAATTTTTTTTTTTACACTTAAAAAAATAAAATTATCATACTTATTCACTTACTCTTTAATTTTAACTTGATTCTTAAATAATATTATAAATTTTCATTTGAATTTTCATATTTTTTAAATTATTATGTATGTAATATGAAAAATACTAATACCAATAACAATTGCTCATGAATATTTGATTCATTTAAAAATAAATAAACAGATTTTGAACATAATTCTAATATTTTTATGAGTTTTTAGCTTTCAATCACATATAAAAACAAACATAATATTTTGATATTATTTTAACTTGTTTTAATATATATATTGAAGAATTATATCAAGTCTCCCATAGTTTAATCGTTTTTTTTTTACTTTTATATTTTAAAAATTTATACTTTACATCCTAAACTTTATAATACTTTGTATCCTGCCAAAAAAATTAACAAAAAAAACATTAAATTATTTATAAAATTACTATTATATTCTATATTTTATTTAATAACTAAAAAATCTTTTCAAAGTTAATATTACACTCTTTTCATTGAACTAAAAAATTCCCTAGCCAACATGGTTTATTTGTTCTTGTTTTTCTTCTTCCTCTTCTTACGTGGAACCATTATTTTTTTTAGAATATATTTGGTAATAAAGTAATTATTGCTTTTCAAATAATTTTTCATATTAAAATATATTCTAATAATTTTTTAATTTTTTAAAAATTATTTTTAAAATTAGTACATCAAAACAATCCAAAATATAAAAATTAAATTAAATTTTAATAAAAAAAATTAAAATTTTAAAAAATATAGATTGAACCGTGTTCCTAAATAATTCCTTATTTTTCTTCTTCCTCCTCTACGTTAGATAATTTTAAAATATAAAAAATAATTATTAACAAATATTTTAACACGTAGATCCTGCCATCAGCACACCAGGCACTGCATTCTTTTAAGTCAAACAAGTCCAAAACAAAATGATGGAAATCATATGGAAGCTAAAACGTTAGGGCCAGAGGCTTCGAATTTTGAGATCCAGAAAGGCGATGAAACCTAGCGATGTGGGTATCCTTAAAATCATGAGATTTCAGGGATTGGATGACACATTGGGGTTCATGAAGGCTATTTAAACCGCTCCTGATTTTCCAGATCCTTGTATAGCTGTATTGGGCTTTCCTCTTCTTTCTTATTTTTGATCTGGGGCTGTTTGTTTGGTAGTTTTTGGTGTAAAGAGACACTACAACATACCAAGGATAGTAATGTCATTTTACATGATTTAAAATTTCAAGTTGACAAAGGGTAGAAGGTATGGTGCATTTGATTTTGGAAAATGATTTCTAAAAAATTATATGTTAAATTTTTATGTGTTTATTTATCAGTAAAAAAATTGATTAATAAAAAATATTTTTTAATTAATAAAAAATATTTTTTTATCAAAAAAAATTTAACTTAATTTATAGGAAAGTATTTTTTTTAATTTGGGAGTAAAACATTTTTTTAAAGTTGTTAATAAATTAAAAATATTAAATTATTTACTAATTATATCAAATTTAGTTCTCAAACTTTTGATTGTTGTATATTTTATTTGAATTTTTTTTAATTCATCTTTTAAATTTTAATTTTGTTTAATTTTTATATTAACTTTGATTTTTATTTTTATGATTGTTATTTACTTTTTTCTTATCATTTTTAAATTGAAATTTTTTATCTATCAAATTTAATTATATTTTTTTTATTACTTATTTTATTTAAAATAATTTATAAAATTATTATTATTATTATAAAAAAAATAATTTGATCCTCATTTTTTTTGGTAAAAGATATAGTTTTTGAAAATACCGAGGCGAAACGAAATAATAATTAAACCATGGAGATTTAATTGTCTTTTTTTAACAAAACAATGATTCTAATTTAAAACTTTACATTTATTAAGATAAATAAGAGACATTTTAATAAGAAAATTAATTTTAGACTGGAAACATATATTTTTGTTTTTATGTAAAATGACTTTATTTAAAAAAAAAAACTATTGTTTTAATATTAAATAAGAAAAAAATTGAAAAGCTACATATGACATGAGATTAAGTATTTTAATATATATTATTTTTATTTCAGTTTCTTAACTCAATATTTAGTTTACATCAACAAATTTATTATTATTTGTCAACACA